GATAGTATAATGGCTTCCTCTATTGGTAGAAAATATGCACAACAGTTTTAACTTGTCCTTTTCTCACAGACCCCAAATATAGTAGCATGGTAGGAATGAGGCACAGAGCCAAGGGCTCTTGGATATTCTCAGCACCATGTTCAAGTCAGTAAAAGAGCTTAAGTTTTCTGAACAAAGTAAAATGGGAAATGCAAGGAAGGTTACAGGAACTAAATCTGTAGGGGTTGTTTAATATTCCCAGCTGCTTTTCAGGAATAAAAACTTTTTTTTTACAATCTAGATATTTAACATTCTTGTTCTCCATAGTATTTCCAAGAGCTGGATGGGCTACTATCCGCCCAAGTTCACATGCCTCAAACTGGTCTCTAACCAGTCAAGAACTGCCAAACTAGTTTTGCAGCCAACACATCTTACATTTCCAATTTGCAAATAATGATTATGTAAGTCTGGTATTTAGCTAACTCGTGTAAAACTGTCAGAATGATAGATAGATGACAAAAATAAACCATGATATAGAACTAAATTGTATAATTTTACTGATTCTATGGAGGCTGTCATTAGCATTTATATCTTTTACGAGTAATATATATTCTTAATTTATTATTTTTGCAGTACTGTAATAATATTGGATATGTAAGGATGCTTCAGAAAATGAATGAATTAATCAAAGAGTTGGAAGAGTTTGAGTTTGATTCTATGAGTTTGATTCTATGAATCATAGAATCAAAGAGTTGGAAGAGACCTAATGAACCATCCAGTCCAACCTCCTGCCAAGAAGCAGGAACATTGCATTCAAATCACCCCTGACAGATGGCCATCCAACCTCTGTTTAAAAGCTTCCAAAGAAGGAGCCTCCACCACACACAGAGAGTTCCACTGCTGAACGGCTCTCACAGTCAGGAAGTTCTTCCTCATGTTCAGATGGAATCTCCTCTCTTGTAGTTTGAAGCCATTGCTTCAAACTACAAGAATCATTTTGATTGTGCCCACTATGCAAGCTTCCAAAACACATGACAATATAGAAATAATACAGTTAATTAATGCCTCAATTAACAGAAAATCATGCAAATGATTTTGTTTTCCTAGTCTTGCAAAGAAGCTGGTGGTATCTATAGAGAATATACCATTTTCAATGCCTGGTTTGGGATTAGTTACATGCATTGCGACTGTACACCGCCACATAATCCAGTTCAAATCAAATAATCCGGATTCAGAAACTGAATTATATGGCAGTGTAGATGGGGCCAGTTTGGGAAAGTTCTGTGTTGAGTGGTGAGTCTCATGACACAATACCCTCCTGTGTGTGTGCCTTCAAAATTATTGTTTTATGATGAAGCTCAGGATTTTCTTAGATAAGGAACACTCTGGCCCCTTCCACACAGCTATTTAAAATCTGGCAGTGTAGACTAAGATATTCCAGTTCAAAGCAGATATTGTGGATTCAGAAACTGGATTATATTGCAGTGTAGATCCAGCACATGTTTGTGTGTCGGCTGCAGTGTGTCATGCAGCTTACCAAGAAATGACCAAAATTTTGGAAATGTATGTTATGCAGCTGGGAGTGCTTCTGGATCCATCCCTCCAAATGTCAGCACAGGTAGATGCGACTGTCAGGAGTTCTTACTATCAGCTTCAGCTGATACACCAGTTACACCCCTTCCTAGATTTGGAGGGACTGAAGATAGTAATGCATGCACACGTAACCTCAAAGTTGGACTTCTACCAAGTTCAGAAACGCCAGCTGATTCCGAATACAGCAGCCAGATTGGTTACAGGAACATCCAGGAGTGAGCATATTACACCTATACTAAAGTCACTTCACTGGCTGCCAATGAGTTTCTGGGCGAAGTACAAGCTGTTGGTTTTGACCTTTGGCCCTACATGGTTTGGGTCCAGGGCACCTAAAGGACTGACTTCTCCCATTCAATCCATTCCACACACTTGGATCTTCTGGGAGATGTCTACTCCAACCAACCAGAACCTGACTGGCAACCACCACCTAGAGGACCTTTTCATCAGCTGCCCCATGATTGTGGAACGACCTGCCGGAAGAACTCCGACCGCTAAAGGAGCTGTCAGAATTTTAAAACCATGTAAAGACCAATCTCTTCTGGCAGGCCTACCCAGTCTTTAAATACAAATTTTAAATGTATGTATTTTGTTTAATCTGTCTTGTGTATTTGAGTATATATTTTATAAAAATACATTTTGGTGTGTAACGTTTATAGAGGTATGTTTTAATATGTATATTTATGATGTTTTGCTGTGCTTATGTGTTTTAATTATTCTGTAACCGGCCTTGAGCCATGAGGAGAGACAGGTAAAAAATAAAATTATTATTATTATTACTATGTCTTGATATTCTGGGTTATATAGCTATATGGAAGGGCCTTTCTACACTGCCATATAAAATTCAGATTATCTGCTTTAAACAGGACTATACAGCAGCGTAGATTCATGTAATCCAGTTCAAAGGAGATCATGTGGATTTACGGTAGTGTAAAAGGGGCCCCGGGAGTCTCCCACCCAAGTATGAGCCATGGCTGGCCCTGCGTAGCTTCCCAGGTCAGGCAGGGCTTACTGCCTCATCACACTTGAGCATTTATCCACTTCAATCCACTTTAAATGATGTGACTGTTTTCTGCAGAATTCTGGGGCTTGTAGTTTCATCCACTGTTCATCCTTTTTGGGCTCCTCTCAATTACACTTTTTCTATTCCTACCTCATCCAGAGTTTTATCATTTTACCTCGTCCATTTGGCCTGCCCATTGTGTTCGATTTTATATTCTGTCAATTTGCTTTATTTTATTTTGCTACTGTATTTTATTCTGATGTAATTTTTGTTGTCTGCATTTAGTATTTTATTTTGCTGTATTGTACCTTTGGGCTTGTCCTCATATTAGCCACCCTGAATCCCCTTTGGGGAGATGGTGGTGGCGTATAAAGAAAGTTGATGATTTATTAATTTATTTATTTATTTGTTATTCAAACTTACATGCCGCCACTCCCCTAGGGCTCGGAGCGGCTTACAAGAACAGACTAAAATCTAAAACAATTAAAAAAAACAGCAATATCAAAGATTAAAAGCCTGTCGAAACAAATATGTCTTACATGCCCTGCGGAACGCTGATAAGTCCCACAAGGCACGGACTTCAGGTGGCAGAGTGTTCCAGAGTAATGGTGCCACTGCTGTAAAGGCTCTGCGTCTGGTTGCTATTAGACGCAAGGTCTTAAAACTGGGAACTTGATTATGATCATTTAAGGCTTGGGTTGTTGTGAGTTTTCTGGGTTATATGGCAGGTAAGAAATAAAACTATTATTATTATTACCCTAAGGCCCCGTCTATGTTGCCATATAAAATTCAGATTATCTGCTTTGAACAGGATTATGTGGCAGTGTTAACTCATACAGGATGAGGCAGCATAACTTCCTTTTTTAAAATGCGCACCATTCAGTCGGTTGAAGACGTAGCGGAGCGCTAGCGGTCTCGTTCGAGAGGCGGGAGTATAAAGTTTTGTCCCGACACAGTTCAGTCGCCATCATGTGTTGGAACAGTGAAGAGCGTGCTTTTGCCGTTGAGGCCTACTTTTCGAGTGGATTTGGAGTGGCCGGCCCGCTCTCCAGATTTGGCCCCTTGTGATTTTTTTCTATGGGGTTTTTTGAAATCCCGTGTTTATGTGAACCGTCCAAGGACCCTACAAGATTTGAAGACCAACATCCAGGAAGAAATCGCCAACATAACGCCTGCTATGCTGGCAGGAGTCATGACAAACGCCAGAAATCGGTTTACTCAGTGTATGGAGTATGGGGGACGTCACCTACCTAATTTGATCTTCAAAACTACATAAAACAAAATTTTAGATAGGCGCCTACATTATAAAAAATAAAATTTCTGATTCATACAATGGGTCGTATTAAGTTTTGAAAAAAGGAAGTTATGCTGCTTCACACTGTATAATCCAGCTCAAAGCAGATAACGTGGGCTATCTGTTTTGATAATATGGATTATACGGCAGTGTAGAAGGCAAGTCAGGCATGCCCCCCTGGAAAACAACACCTAATATTCCCTGGGCATCTCCCACCCAAATATGAGCCATGGCTGGCTTTGCCTAGCTTCCCAGGTCAGGCAGGGCCTACTGCCTCATCACACGAGCATTTATCCACTGGAGCCCCCAGTGGCGCAGTGGGTTAAACCCCTGTGCCGGCAGGACTGAAGACCGACAGGTCGCAGGTTCAAATCCGGGAAGAGGCGGATGAGCTCCCTCTATCAGCTCCAGCTCCTCATGCGGGGACATGAGAAGCCTCCCACAAGGATGATAAAAACATCAAAACATTCGGGTGTCCCCTGGGCAACGTCCTTGCAGACGGCCAATTCTCTCACACCAGAAGCGACTTGCAGTTTATCAAGTCGCTCCTGACACGACCAAAAAAAGATGTATCCCCTTCAATCCACTTTAAATGATGTGACTATCTTCTGCAGAATTCTGTAGTTTAGAGCTTGGGTTGTTGTAAATTTATTAGGCTGTCTGGCCATGTTCCAGAAGCATTCTCTCCTGACGTTTCGCCTGCATCTATGGCAGGCATCCTCAGAGGTTGTGAGATCTTCTCTGGATGAGCAGTTTAAAGGCCCTTCCCTAAATTACAAATTCCATAATTCTGCAGGAGCATTTAAAGTGGATTCAAGTGGATGAATGCTCAAGTGTGATGAGGCCAGTCGTGCCTCAAAAGAAACTTGAGGCCTCAGAAGAAACTTGAGCCAACACTCCGAGAATCCCCCACCTAGCACAGCCAGCCTAGTCGCTGACGAATTCTTGGGATTTGTGAAGTAAGGCAGACATTCCCAAGAGTTCTGGCTACGGCTACAAACGAACTGCTAGCAGCCACCTCAGGGCCAACTGCGCTTGCGCAACATCCGGGTCTTGCTCCCACTGAGCCTCGCGACAGCTGGGCGCGTGAACTGAGGACGTGGCAGCCCGAGGAAGAGCCAGCCGAGCAGGAAGGAAGGCGAGAGTGGGAGGGAGGGAGGACCCACTTCCGGCGCGGGAGGCTGGCGCTGCGGGTCTCGGAACCGGAAGTCGGCACAGGAGGCCTCTCGACACCAGGGAAGGGAGCCGGCCTGGGGTGAGTGCGGGGTCTGGTTTGGCCGTCGTCGCGGTCCCGGTAGGCCTCTCCTTGGCGGAAGGAGGTCACTGAGGAGCCGGGCCTACCTGGGTTGGGCGAGCAGGCGAGGGCGGCCTTCTTTCTCGCCGCCCAGGTGTCCTGGTTCATGGCGACCAGGAGGCGCCCCTCAGCCCCGCTCCTGGCCTTGCCTTCCCCGGCCCCATACGAGGGCGCCTCTTGGGGGCCTCTTGCCAGGTCTCGCGGGCGGGAAGAGCGGGCCTTTGGAGCTGGTTTCCGCGCTCAGCCGGCCAAAGGGCAGCGCTGCTTCTGGGCCGCACTCCGCCGTGAGGGGAGCTTTCAGAGGAAAGGCCGCGAGTATAGAACAAATAGAATCCCAGGGCCGGGAGGGATCCCAAGAAGCCCCCTCTGCCATAAGGGGCACACAATCAAAACCTTCCTGGTAGATAGCCACCCAGCTTCTGCTTAAAAACCTCCAGAGAAGCAGACTGCATCCTCCTCCCAGGCAGCATCTTCCACTGTCAGACAGCTCTTACCCACAGGAGATGCTTCCCAGTTCTTAAGCCAGGCATGAGCAAACTTTGGCCCTCCAAGTGCTTTGGACTACAACTCCCACAATTCCTAAAGTATAAAACACTTGGAGGGCTGAACTTTGCCTAATAAGAATATAATAATAATAAACTTTATTTATACCCCGCCACCATCTCCCCCAAAGGGGACTCCAAGTGCTTTGGACTACAACTCCCACAATTCCTAAAGTACAAAACACTTGGAGGGCTGAAGTTTGCCTAATAGGAATATAATAATAATAAACTTTATTTATACCCCACCACCATCTCCCCCAAAGGGGACTCCAAGTGCTTTGGACTACAACTCCCACAATTCCTAAAGTACAAAACACTTGGAGGGCTGAAGTTTGCCTAATAATAATAATATAATAATAAACTTTATTTTTACCCCACCACCATCTCCCCCAAAGGGGATTCGGAGCGGTTTACGTGAGACCAAGCCCGATGATACATTACAGCAAAATAAAATACCAATCAACAAGAAATAACATCATAATGGAATACAAAACATTCAAGTAAATAAGCAATGTAAAATAACATAACGAAAAATCAAACATAGTGGGCGGGCCAAATAATAATAATAATAATAAACTTTATATCCCACTCCATCTCCCCCAGGGGGACTCGGTGCGGCTTACATGAGGCCAAGGCCATCAGTGCAGTACATACATTGGAATACAAAAACATAATACAGAATATTAATATATAAAATGCAATGAACTATAATAAACGACACAGACAATATAAAACATGAATTTAAAAACAGAGAATTTCACTGGGCAGGGCCACATCCAGGCAAAAAAATTAAAAACTGGGAGATCGGACAATATAAATCATCAAGATGAGGATCCGAGAATGAGGGAGTATTCAATTGCACGAACCATAAATAAAGTGCTTTTAAGGACATTTAGTGCAAAGTCTGGTCAGGGAGTTCTTACATTCAATCACTGAAGGCACATTGGAATAGCCAGGTTTTCAGGTTCCTCCTGAAGATTGCTTTGCTTGACATAAAATGATAAAACTCTGGATGGGATAGCAGTGAAGAGGTATATTTATGAAGGAGAAGCTCGTATGGGACAGAACAGTGGAGTTAGGCCTTCAGTAAGGTGGGGGAAAGAGCAAAATAAGGACGACACTATAAGTGAAACACCAGGAATGAAATATAAGTGAAATATAAGTGAAACACCAGGAATGAAAGCACATCGGAAAAGCCACGTTTTTAGATCTTTCTTAAAARCTGCTAGGGTGGTGGCTTGCTAAWCTCGCCAGGTAGCGAATTCCACAGCCAGGGGGCCACAGCGGAGAAGGCCCTTGCCCTCGTTTCCACAAGTCRTGCTGTGATTTTATTGTTTATTTATCCCCCCCAACTTTTCTCCCAATCGAGGGGTGAAAGGAGGGCCTCCCCTGGTTTAGATGGTTCCCTAAAGTTCAGAATCAAACTTTGCTCTGTGGGGCATGCTAATATGTGGATGCTTGTTTTTTGRTWCWKRTTAGATACTTATTATTATTTTATTTATGTCCTGCTTTTTCTTTCCATACGGAGACTCTAAGCAGCTCACAACTAAAAGCCTTGCAGTACAACTTAAAATACAGAAATATACAAGTATTAAGCATCATTAAAAGCATTTTTAACTTTATTGAATGTTGAAACTGTGTCATGTTATCCATTTATTATATCATCACCAATTTTATAATTTCTTATTAGATATGTTTGTGGTGTGATAGTTATGCTTTGTAATGTTTTTCATTACATGTTTGCTGCTTTGAGTCTCGATTGGGAGAAAAGGGGGGGGGGAAGGAGGATAAATAAATAATAAAATCACAGCAGCCCCTGATCTTAAAAACCTTCTTTAAAAGCCTTCTTGAATAAAAAGGTTTTAGCTAGCCACCTCAAGGACAGCAGGGAGGGAGCCATTCTGGCTTCCATGGGAAGAAGCGAGTTCTAAAATTGTGGGGCAGCCACGGAGAAGGCCCATTTTCTTGTTCCCACCAACTGAGTTTGAGATGGAGGTGGGACTGAGAGAAGGGCTTCCCCTAAAAATCTCAGAGCCCAGGCAGGTTCGGACAAGGGCATGTGGTTGGCCAAAAGCCTGGATCTGAACATAAAGCTTGATGGGGCAACATGTAGTTACGTGTCTGCAGGGGAATAGGTGGCATATTTTGACTGCATTTATCAAAAGCATTCCAATAACTTGTCCTTTAGGATTATTAATAACATTTTCTTTCAATTTAGAGGCCTCAGAAGAACATAGGCAGATAACAGAATAAAGATTAATAGTTTCTCTCTGTAGCCTTCTTGTCCTGTGTGGATTGGATACATGATACCTCAGGCATCTCCACAAGGGCTGTGGATAACATAGATGTTGTTGATTTTCATCTTCTACGATTCTGCATGATTAATGTTGTGAACTAGACTGATGGGAATTGCAGTCTGACAGTATCTGGTAGGCCACACATTTCCCATTGCCTATGTAAAGCAAACAAATTTCTGTTTTGTCTTATTTCCACCTACATATCTGCTTGTTACTGTTATGTTTTTGTTTGAGCAGGAATTGATCTTCAGACTTGAGCTACTTCTTGAGATCTACTCATTGTAATCCCATTATTCAGGGACTTTGGGCATGGAAGTAGGGTTTGTTGTTGTTCCTAGCTTTGTAAGGCTGTTTTGTTTTCCTGTTCTCTTACACGACTAGTTCACATATTGTTGGTTATCCAGATTTTCCTGGGAAATATATGATGCCTTTCTTATCCTAGATAATGAGGAGGAGCTCTTTGGTATGAACTGGTTTTCTGAAATTGTAGTCTTGTGGCATTCTGTTCAACTGCACCACGATGGGTGCACCAGCAGATCTTGATTCAACTGCATCCTTTCAAGCAAGAGTGGAACTGTTCTGGAGGTGCACATTGGACTGTCGCCTGAGAGCAGCCTGAACCCATCTCTTCAGTAAAGCCACATTCCTTGGTGTCATTTAGACGCAATACCCTTTGTAGCAAAATACACGCTTTGATTACCTTGTATGTGCATTTCAGCAGAAAGGCTGTCTCTAGTCTTGAGCAGCTTTTGCCAGGAACTCAGGATTATACTGCAGCACTGGGAATCTCTGCTCCAATCAATATTATAGGTTTCAACTTAAATTATTTTCCTACCACTAGGAAAAGATGTGGAAACAGGAAAGTCTCCTACTTAAAAGGTCCCTGGTTGCAGAGTGGTCCATGTGCTTGAAATGTACCCACATCCACTTTCCTCTTGTTTTCATGATAGTCATCACAGAATCACACAGTTGGAAGAAACCCCAAGGACCATTGAGTCCAACCTGCCAGTAAGGAAATACAATTAAAGCACTCCCGACTGATGGCCATCCAGCCTCAGATTAAAAATCTCCAAAGAAGGAGACTCCACCACACTCTAAGGAAGCATATTCCACTGCCAAACACCTCTTGCCATCAGGAGGTTCTTTCCAATATTTTCCTGCATCCATTGCTCCATGTCTTGGTTTCTAGAGCACCAGAAAACAAGCTTGCCCTCTCATCAACGTGACTTTGATTTCAAATATTTGAACATAGCAACCATGCGTACACACAATCCATATCCTTTCCTTCCCCCGCAAACAGGTGGTATTAGCCCTCCCCTTCATCATGTAAAGGTTGTAGGCAGATTCATTTTGAACTTTTGTTGGCAGATGACAAATGTTTTTGATTTCAATTGAGTGTGCTTTATGAATCCATCTTCATTTTTTAGACTCAAGATACAAAGAGAAGTTTCTGAAACTGAAAAGAAAACCATCAAAAAACCCCAGCATTTATAAAACATAAAATGGCTGATTCCCCTTTTTATGAAAGACAGACCTGCACAACTTGTGGGCTCCAGGCGTTTTGAACTTCAGCTCCCAGAATTCCTGGGCATTGGACAAGCTGGCTAGGGCTTATGGGAGTCGGAGGCCCAAATATCTGTCTATGTTAGTTGTTGTAGTTCAGTTTTTTATATTATAAAAAACCTTTTTTTGGTATTGTTTCTGTTTTTAAAAAATGTTTATTTCTGAATAAGAAACAATATTAATGGAAATGGTATGTGTAAAAGCGATTTCAGTATCTTAATAGACAGCAGGCTGTACAGCATGAGTTGATAGTGTGATGCAGCAGCTAAAAAACTCAGAGTAATTCTACAGGAGTATAGTGTCTAGAAACTCTAGATCAAGGGAAATCATAGTCCTGCTTTGGTCATATTCTGCCTTGGTCACATCTCACCTGGAATACAGTGTCCCTTTTTGGGCATCACAGTTCAGAAAAGAAACTGACAAACTGAAATATGTCAAGAGAATTTTCAAGGGTCTGGAAGCCAAACCCTATGAGGAACAACTTTGGAAAATGGGTATTTTAGCTTGCAGAAAAGAAGGTTAAGAAGAGACATTATAACCATGTTTACCCTATACAGGC